CATAGTTTTTGACTCATCTGAAATACTTTCAAGCAGGCCAAAAATGAACAAACATTTTGTGCGAAAACTTTCGATCCACCCGTTATATCAAAAAGCTGTTAGATAGAAAATTCGGTACCATGCTTATTATAACTCATCCTTATTCGAACACTACATCTTTACAATTTTTTCGTCTCAAGATACAATTATTTTGCCATTTCATAGTTTTGTACAATTGTTACTGGGTGATTGAAGCTCCTACTCTCACATCTTCATTCTCAAGAGTAGAGGGGATAACAGAATTGTTTTTCGATTGATTGGATTTATTTCGACCATCAAAGTTATCTATCGATAGCATAGAATGTAATTTGACTGTGTCAAAAAAAAAAAGAGAAAGTCCAGAAGTGTTAGACATCACTCACAGCTGATACGACATCCTTGAGTAAATGTTCTTGCCTTCACCATCACTTTAGTACCTGTCCGGTATGTAATACTTTCTGTCGGATAACTAAACATATAGCAGAATTTGTTAGGTAGTGGTATATATCCGTCACTCTACTACCTTGATTGTTCTCTTTCTTTTCTATATCTATATATGATTCTTCTACTTGGATTATTCCTTTAGTTCTCTTCGATGGATTTTTCCTTTTGTTTCTTTCGTATATGTAATTGTGATTTAGTTTTCAATAAAGAGGAAGAAGAAATGTGAGAGTCAAAATTAACAGAATTTTATAGAAAAATCCCGATCAATCCTAAAAAAATAAATTATGATAGTTGTTCAACAGTAGAGAAGTCTTTTGTTTGTTGAAATTGTTGTTTTCATTGTTCAAAGATGTTATTTTATTGAATAAAAGTCGATTTTGAAATTTTTGAAAAATGATGAGTTATACCAAACAAGATTCAAAATTCATCATCAAAAATTACCATTAGAAAAATATCTTGTGTACTTTTCATTTTATAGAAAAATAAAACAATTTTTTTGTTTTTATTTATAGATTCTATTCAACATCAAGCGATGCTTTAGCTTTTCGTGAAGTTTATAATATATTATTAACATTAAAATATACAGATAATAATTGGATAAAAACAATTCGTTATGTTCTAAAAAGAAACGTTGCTACTCGAGTAGAAAAAGTAGCAAAGAAAGAAGAAGATTCAGAAATTGAATCGTTGAAATCTTGTTAATCTTGTAGTTTTCATGAGTGTATTCCAAGGGGTATCCAACTCATTTAAATCAGTTAACTCAGTTTGACTCGCTTAAGGGCTCTGCACTGATAATCGTCCTTACGTTAGGTACATTTAACTCGCCTGAAATTTGAAGTATATGCTGAAATTGTGGTAGAGAGATTATGGTAAAACTTTTAGTTCTTTACATTGACGTCTGTTTGAGAGCATATCAGCAATATGTATTTTAGTGACTTAATTTGAGTCAAACTGAGTTAAGTTGATTTAAAGTGAGGTAAGTAATTCTATCTTTTGTGCTGTGATTAACTCATTTTAACTCACTAAATCACCTATATTTGATACTCCTTGCTGTATCTGTACTTGTTATTTTACAAAAAGAAATGTGTTATTATTACTCTTTTTCCAAATAAAATCTTAAAATAAATCACATTTCATTAAATATATTTGCGTTTCTCTTCGGTCAACATACAGTCTGAGGAAAACATTTCAATAACTGACAATAACTACTTAATTTTTTGCTTTTATGACTTCATAGCATTTTAGAGATATAAATTTAACTCTTCTGTTTAAGTTAATCTGTTTTTTTCCGAAACAATAGTTAAAATTTCGTATAAGAAAAAGTAATAGTGTTGCATAATGATTCTGTTCGCCATCTCAAAAACGTAAAGCAAGTTGCATTATACTTTATATTTATATAATTTTTCAAATATAGTAATCATGAAAGGAACACATTGGAATTTCAACATAAAAGAGATATAAAACAGAATTTAACAAAGCAAAAAATACTGAATACTTTAAAAAATATATATACAATAATTTGCAAAAAAACTCGGCCTCGATATTCTGAACACCACTCTCTTAGGATTTATGTATTTCCACGAATTCTCATATGGTTGGATAGTTCACGAAAAATGCTATGTATGGCTAGATTTTGATCTCTGTTGAAACCATTTTCGGAAGAAAAATAAAGGATATAAATGTCTCAATTGAAAGTGACAAAACAAACTTACACGATAGTATAACGATCTTTTAATTATTCTGTAAACGAGGGTGTGGGTGTGGGGTGTGGGTGTGGGTGTGGGTATGGGTGTGGGTGTGGGGTGTGTGTGTGTGTGAAGTGTGGGTATGGGTGTGGATATAGTTGTGGGTCTTCTCTTTACACCCACATCCACACCCACCCACACTCACACCCACACACCCACACACCCACCCACCCACACCCTCACACCCACCCCTACCCACACTCACATCCACACCCACACACTCACACCCACACACCCACACCCCACACCCCACACCCCAAATATAAAAACAAACCAAAGTTTATTTCTCAATAGTACGCTTCTTTTTATCAAACTTTCGATTTGATGTTATTTTCTTTAATACATCTTTTTGGGATGAAATAAACTTATTAAAAAATGTATAAGGAATATCAACATCCTTTCTGGTATGCAATTCAACTGCAACTAATTCTATTCCAATAATCAGACTATAAATGATTCATGTGAATAAACATACTTTCCGTATATTAAATTCACTCTATAAAATATTATCTATACTAATGACATTCAGTTTAATTCGAAAAAAATTTAAATCGAAATGAGTATACATGGTACTAAAATATCACAATTCGAAAAAAAATCAGAAAAATCTTAAGATTCAGAAACTCGGGAAGCTATCGAAAAAAATTTAAGAATTCAGATTTTTCCTGCTCAATTCCAAAGATCTAACAAATCTGAAATTATAACCCATATTGGCATCTACTCGCCTTCAAATTTCCAACAAAGTAGCTGAATATCATGCACTTTATGACTTTATTTTCTCTAATTTCTGCGTAGTCAACGAATTCATTTTGTGTCTTATCTTGTCTAACTAGTAAACATTGAGCATCAATAAATTCTTTTGTGGTTTCTGATCTACTAACGTTCCATAGTAACAGTATATGCCGATTGAAATATGAAGTATATCTCTTATGCTCATCTAGAGATCCATGCAAGCCAGCTACATCATTTTCAATGTAGTCGCCAGTTGTGAAAAGCTCTCCGTGATCATTGTTTTCATTTTCCAACATGGAAAAATGAAATCAATGCAATATAATCAAAAATATTGAATTGATTTTAATGCATTTTTATTGATTCAAACTGGTCAACATAGCGACAAAAAATTATGATTGAATAATTTCAAAACATCGAAAAAAAGAAAATGCCATATTACTTCTTTTTTTCCACATATTCTACCTTCAAATTAACACTAACTGTACAGACACGAACAGAAGAAGAAAAACTATTAATGGCAACAATAATAAAACTATGTCAATTTTTTTTTGTTTCATTACTTCGTTTGTTGTTAAGATATTTTTTTTAGTCGTTGCTCTTTCTTATTTGTGTTAGTTACAGTTTCAGAAGAAGCTCAACAATGTCATGTAATCAACTCATTTCACGTACATACAAAATAAATGTTTTCTAATATGTTTGGTATGAGAATGCATTTATTATAAATATAATTCTAGTGATGTATGTATATATAGGACAGGAATTTTCTCCATGCTATTGTGATGTATGTTAAAATTATATAGGTCTCACATGTGAACATGCATTATTTGAATATGAATTCTTTATGAATCGAAGAGATTACTGAAAGAATAGTAATTAGAATATCAAAAAAAGAAAAACGAGCACGTCAAATAATTAAAAAAAACACTCTGGCAAAATCGTGAGTAAAGTTATATCCATTCTGTCAGTCATATTCATATAACGTTACAATGACATTTACACAGAGAAAAATCGTGAATATAGCGGCGCCTATCTCATATGAGTTCCAATGCAAATACAACGTTCATAGTCATGTGTGACATCAATCATGAGATAAGACTCTTTTTTGCCTGTTGCATCTATAGGAAAAATTCTCGAGGAACTGTTTGTTTCAGTTTTATCCGAATGTTCATGAAGGTCATAAGGCAAACAAATCGAGATACGGGTGTCTTTGTCGCTCTTTTTTTTCATTTTTGTCGGACTTAAGTAATTTTACAAATGAAAAGTAAACGAAAGTTAGAAAGAATAACAAAAGAATAAATTATGCTTTTGCATATTTTCTCTTCCATTTATTATTGGCAGTCAGATTCTCAATGAAAACTAAGTGAAATATGTTGTTGTTGTTGTTGTGTCAACGAAAAGTAAAAACAAAACCATATTTATCGTCATAGAACAATATAGATGAAAAGCATAAGACAATCATTCTGGAGTTTAAGGTTTATTTTCACAACTTTTTTTTACTCATGCTCGAATTTCAAACATGTAAATCAACACAGGACAATATTTCAGTCGATATAAGTGAAGTTAAAATTCAAACGGTCTTAAAAACAATGATAACTTTTGTACACCAATACTTTTGAAATTTCTATGTCTCTAGTTTCAGTTTCTGAAATATCTTTCTTCCATTTCTTAGTAACCTCTCCTACATTATCTTTCTCCATAATTCTCTCACATTAACATTTTTCATACTAAGAAAACTTTTGAAATATCTCTCTTTACATAATAATAAATTTTCTAAATGTTTTTCTCACTGTAGCAAAAAAATGAATGCTCTAGATAATTGCCTCTGCAACATTCACTCAATATTAACGATGTAAATATGATACTTCTCATATTTAGTCTTTAGATCTTCGCAGTATGAGATACTTATGAATCCATGACCATAGAGAAATGAAATGAATATAATACAATGAACAGTGTTGAATTGATTTTGATCTATTTTTATTGATTTAGGCACACCAACTCGGTTGACATCTCAAGATAGGCAATGAAGAAAAATTTCTTGAGGATATGTCAATAAAATCAAAAGAAAGAAAAAAAAACGAATAAAAATGCACTCTCGCATTTCGTTTGTCTTAGTTATATTTTCAGAAGAAACGCAACAAAATGATGAAATCAGCATTTCGATCAATATATTTTATATTCGTGGAACAAACTTTTGTGTTTGTGCAAAAAGCATATCATGTATACTATTATGATTATATTTTATATTTGCTACTTTTGAATACAGAATAACAGAATCGTGTTATAAATATTTTGAGTGATATTCTATTCATTCTGTGAGTTTCGCTTATATAATCTCAAGACTACACATTGGCCACACTCAAAAAAAACATGAATATAGTAGTACTTGTTTAATACGGGTCTGAGTGTAAATGCAATTTTCATACTCAGGTATGACATCACCATTCAAAAATAAATCATGTATTCTTTCTCACTTAAAGTTTTTTATGATAGTAATGTTTATCCTATGAAAATAGTTTATTGTATTATGAATATCAATTTAAATTAGAATAAGAACTATTTAGCAATGTGTCATGTGGCAAAACTTCATAGATGCAATTTGACAACTCTTAAATTATTACAATATCTTATCGATCAAAGTGAGAGAAAAGATAAGACTGTAATGAAAATCCAAGATTTTTGAACCATTCTTGAAGTGTATCAATGTTCCATGAACAAGAGTAAACATGAAGCATAATAAATACGAACTATATTTCATGAGGAAAAAACTTGTTAGTTTGTTATCATTTGAATAAAAGTAAATTTTATTATTAATTGTAACTATAGTAACATTTGTCGAACTGTCAATGTCTATGTTGTTTATTTTTTCGTTCTTGCCAGTACGAGAAAAAAAAGACTAAAGTGATTGCGTAGATGAAAAGTAAACGAAAATTGGAAAGAATAAAAATGCAATTAATAATGTTGTTGGGTTTTTTTTTCTTTTATTTGTTGTTGACAACGATATTTTCAAGTGAAACTAGGTAGAATTTGCTCTTAAGTGTCAACACGGGTGTGGATGAAGGTGAATGTGTGGGGAAGTGTGAATATGATTCTTTTAACTCTCACCCACACTCACCCATATCGATCATCTCTCATTTCAAAACGAAATTGTATGGCAATGTTTACTTATGTTAGTAGTGAATATTGTACCAATATCCGAATGTTATTTCATAACACCTTTTAGTATTACACCTCTTTGCTTGGGACAGATCCTAAATTTCACACATAAATGTTCAATCTTTGTGATAATTTCTCAAGTTAGCATCTTATCAGCTTGGAATCTTAATAAAACTAGAAGAGCGCAATGTCATTCATTACTTTGACTTTTTTGATTTCTGAATAATCATTGACTACTATTTTTAGTTTACTGTAACCAACTAGTAGATACTGATCGTCTATGAACTATAATTCGGCATTCGACTCTACTGACGTACAGGAATGAAGATATATGTGGATTGAACTATGAAACTTCTCAGTCATATTCATCGAGGAACATAAGTGGATTAGTATTGTCATCAATAAGGTTGCCAACTAAAATCAGTTCTTGAGTTTTAAACTTAATGTCTTCCAAGTTCAAGTTTTGAATAATATATTTTTTTAATGTCTTAAGAATCTAATGTACGTATATCATCCTGCTCTTCAATATTATAATGCAAACGTTTTTGCAAACTAAAAAGACTCCTGAAAAAAACTCTGTTTACTTCATGACAAGTTTTTAAATATTCTTGTCAACCGAAAAGGAAAATGAAAGCTTTGGAAAATTAATTATTTGACATTCATTCGATTTTAACAATCTTTCAACATGTTAATCATATTTAGTCTATAGGTTTTTGCAAAATTAGATGCTTTTGAATCTATAACCATGGAGAGACGAAACCAATGTGATGGAATGAACAGCATAGAATTAATTTTAATGTATTTTTATTGATTGAAACTCGTCAATAGAGCAGCAAAAAATTCTTTATGAGACGCAAACACATGAAACGAAAGAAAAGAAGAAAAATATAGTATAGCGTTTCTGCGGTACTTCTTTGTTTACACACGACACTTTCACATTGCCATGGACTCAACAGACACGATCGAAAAGAGAGAAAATGTTGGCAACAATAATGAATATTTCTTAGTTTATGTTTTTGTTTCATTGGTTGGTTCATTGTTAATGTACTTTTGTTGATACTTCGTGTTTGTCATAATGGTATTTACAGAAGAAACCCAAATGAATCATACATTCAACATTACAGTGAATTTTTTATTTCGCGGAACAAGCTTGTATTTTTTGTGCAAAGAGATGTGGCATATGTTATAAAGATAGAAGCTTTTTTGTGACCTTTGAATTTTGAAGGGTGTATGTGGATATGAGTTTGACAGCTCGACTTCTGTTCACGCATATCTACAACCAAAATAAAGTTTAATTCTATTCTGAGTATTGGCTCAACTTCAAATTAGAATTATTTAGTACATGACACAGCGAAAGCTCATAAATGAAATTATCAAATAAAACTTTGGTTTGCTTGCTACATCTATATTACTCTCTATCGAACTCTTCACTAGTGCTCCAGTAAGCATAGAATGCAGTAAATATTACTGAGAATTCAGCAGGATACGAACCATTCTTTCGTGTCGAGTCATCGGCTAATAATGTGCCTTATATTTGATAAAGATAAAAATTGTTGCTTTGACTGTTACTTCAATCAAAATTAAATTTATTTCTCTTGTTCTTCTGTTCACATTGTCAGAGTGCTCATTAGAATCATACTAAAGATATCGAATTGACGATGTATTCATTGTTGTTCTTTTCCTTTTTGCCAAAAAGACAAAAAAAGTTGTTCTGAAGAAATCAAAAAAAAATCATCGGTGAATGAGAAAAATATTTATAATGCATCAATACTCAAGTGATTGTTTAGATGAAGAGCAAATATAAGTTGGAAAGAAAAAGCATGAAAAAAATGATGTCATTGGTTTTTTTCTATTTCATTTTTTTGTTGACAATCATATTTTCAGTAGAAACTGGGTGGAATTTGGTATTGAGTGTCAACGAAAAAAAAACTCATATTTGATGTCATAGAAACATCTAAAAAAAAACAGTGGGTATCGACTGTATAAACAAAAAGCAGTTATTCATCATTTTAAACTAAAAACAACATTTCATATATAATCCAAGTGAACAACGATCCAAAGAACAGGTATACAAATTAACCATGTGCGCCGCTGCAACAGCAAGATCCTTAACTGTTGCCAGCCGACCAAAACAAGGTCGACTCCAAAATTATTTACTAATCTGGGTCGATGGTAACATCGACGAAAACAACAAAGATTGCGCAAACACGCTGGAGAAATTGCGCAGTGTCGTCAGAGAAGTCAATCTCTGTACGACTCCAACGCAATGTATTCAGTTTCTGAATAATATGGATAACGAAAAAGCGTTTATTATCTCGTCTGGAGCTTTAGGGCAGCACCTCGTGCCACAGATTCATGATTTGTCACAAGTGGACGCAATTTATATCTTTTGTGGTAATAAAACAAAACATGAAGCATGGGCACAAGAATGGGCAAAGATTGAAGGTGTTTTCACCTCAATCGAGCCCATATGTGAATCGTTAAAGAAGGTCACCCGTGAATGTGACCACGATACGATTCCTATGAGCTTCGTTCCGAAGCAAACGACCGCAGCTACATCAAGTCAAGAAAATCTGGACCAATTAGAACCATCATTTATGTACTCGGTGTTATTCAAAGAGATTATATTGGAAATCAATGAAGACGATGCGAAGCCGTTGAACGATCTAGTCGTCTACTGTTGTAGCAAAGGTATATCGGGAAAAGAATTAAAGGACTTTCAAAGTGCATACCACCAGAAAACGCCAGTCTGGTGGTATACATGCGAAATGTTTCTATACGGCATGCTGAATTGTGCCCTACGAACACTGGACATGGAAGCCATGACAAAAATGGGCTTTTTCATTCGAAACCTTCATAAACAGCTGGAACAACTGCACAAAGAACAAGCAAAGACTTTTACGAAAAAATTGATTGTTTATCGTGGTCAGGGGTTCATTGAACAAGATTTTCAACATTTAATGGACGCGAAAGGTGGACTGCTCTCATTTAACAATTTTTTGTCAACTAGTATAAAGCAACAGATCGCTATGGAATTCATGAAACGTGCCATGCAGAAAAATAAAGACATCGTCGCTGTTCTTTTCATCATGACAATTGATCCAAATACAATATCGGCGGCAACTACTCCATTTGCACTTATCGACGAATACAGTGCTATTGAAACTGAAAAAGAAATTTTATTTTCAATGCATACTGTTTTTCGCGTCGATGATATCAAACAATCAATTAGCAATAGTCGTCTGTGGGAAGTTCAATTGAGTCTCACCGGCGACAATGATCCACAATTGGCTGCTCTTACTAATCGCATACGAAAGGAAGTCGATGGCACTGGATGGTATCGAATGGCTAAACTGATGTGTCGGGTGGGTCACTACAATCAAGCTGAAGAACTCTACAATGAATTACTCAAGAACGCTTCCAACGACAGTGATAGAGCATTTATTTATCACCAGCTTGCACTTTTAAAAAACAATAAAGGACAATATCAAGAAGCAGTTGCGTTTTATGAAAAATCAGTGAAGATCGAGAGAAAAACTCTTTCGGAAGATCATTCTTCATTGGCTCCTACCTATACTAACATCGGTCTTGCGTATAACAACATGGGTGACTACTCGAAAGCACTTGAATTTTACGAAA